ACAGGTTGCATTACGTCAAAAAAATCGGAATTAAGTCACTTCAGGCTGTAGTGTGAACGCACCCTAAGTCTTGTGATTATAAGTCAGCACAAAATATTTCAAAGTATTGTAATAGAGATAGGAAACTGTTTCATCAGGAAAACCCACATAAATAAACAAATGAACAAATGACCACACGTCACATACACAACTAAAATTAATGCCTGAAGACATATTTTCCATTTGTTCCTTTAAAGTCGTTGGTCTGTTTGCTGCATGCTATACACCAACCTGCTGATCTTCATGATGCAGACAAGTTTCTTCACTTCAACCCAGGTAACAGAAACATGTTGAAATAGTTGCATGGAAATGTACCTGAGGTAGAGAACCAGGGAGAGAACCAGCCTCCACAGTGTGTTACCTGGACCAAAGGGCTGCAGGAACCAGGTTCTCCCTGCTCTGCCTGGCGCACTGGCTGCAGGTTGGATGGGGTTGTAGGCTCGGATGGTCTTCACGTCAGCTTTGTTGTCACTTGCAGTTGGGATCTCCAGCACTGGGATGACAGTACACTGATCCAACACACCGTCAGATGTCATCACTTCAGTGTAGCCCTCTTCACAGCCACATACACCTGCCTAAAACAGCAAGCAGCTAAGATTTTGCAACAAAACAATGCTTTATTGAGCATCTACAGTCACAAGGGAGCTGAAAGAATCAGCTGTAAACACAAAAAACCCCTCCAAAACATTAATAATCCTAAAACGCTCATGTCCTTTTCAGTTGAGGTCAATTGCTTGATGTTTGACAGCATTTACAGTCTACAGTTCGGCCCCATTATTCATAACAGATAAAGATTCAGAAATATTTTAATTTAACCAAAGCTTACATGGAAATCAGAAAGTCATAGCTCAAACAATCACTTTAAAAAAAATCAATGTAGCTTTTTATGAACATTATTTTAAAAAACTGAAAAACTGTTAATGTTTACTACACTTACCTTTCTTAATAATCAGTGAGAAATCTATTAGCATTGCAGCAATCAAAGCCTTCTTCTAACTGCTGAGCTGGATTTTACATGTTTCCACTAGTATTATGAAATTTATCTTTGGTAAAGAGTTCCAATTCTTTAAGATTGAAGGAAATTATGGAATTATTCCTTAGCTCATTTCACTAATTCTCCATCAAGTCAGGAGTCTGGTTGAAAACATTATGAGAAGTTAGTTAAATTAAAATATTACATTAAATCCAAATATGCCAGGGCTCTGTGGGCTTATAGCTGTAACTACCATTAATAATACAAACCAATAATGTAGTTTTTCAGTCTTTTAAACATTGATGAAGAATATTTAATAATCATAATGTACATGACCATATATGATCTTTATTCCTGAATTTTCTACTGACTTTTTCTGAATGCAAACACTAATGTGACCGCTACTGTGAGGTCATAGATTTGGCGTGAAACCTCTGAGTTCCATAAATCAGAACATTCAAGTCATTTTTAGTTCCAAACTGTAACTTTGATATTCCAGCCTCCAAGTACAAAAGGGATGCACTATTATCTCAAAATTCTATTGATTGGTTCTAATCTATTGGTTTTCTGTTACCTGTCACTAGATGTTCTGTCAAACTTGGCTGTGAAAGTATGTTTTTTGTTTGTTTTTATTATTTTTTTCCAGTTGACAATATATTTGTACTTCTGGTACATTTCAAGTTATTGGAACTGTTTGGTTCATTGTCTTGATAATGAGATCCAGTCACTAACAATACTGCTCAGTATAAACCACAATTCAAATGAAGA